CATATTGGAAACAAATTAAGCACTGAACACTTAATGGGCCGAAAGCCCATTTCGAGCTGGGCTGATGTGATCACCCATCTATGGGGCGGATCTGAGATTATGTTAGCAAAAGGATAGGGCCTTTTTACCTTATCCACTATGGGAGACCAAATTCAAATCAGATTTGAATCTGGTAACCTCCTGATAAGAACAGGCGTAAGCTAACTTAATATGCAGATAGGATTAAGATAATCCCTATCCAAATACTGATTTGGATTGGGATAACTCCTAAGGAGGAGGTTTCTTAATCAAGAAGAAAGGAGGAGAAACCCTAAGAGTGAAAAATATCAGATTTCGAACCAAGGGGTTTTCGAAAAAGCAAGAAAGCTTCCTGCGAATAGAGATTAGATCTCATTCATACTCCAGAGAGAAGAGAAGCAATTCTTCTGTCTTCGCCCTTGGAGTTCTCCTCCAGCCGCCGCCGCCATTGCTTCTCACAAGATTCGATCTTTGTAGAGGAAAGAAGTCAAGAAACCAGTTCTTGACATTAGTCTTGCAGAAAAGACTGAAGAAGATTCGGTGTTCAGAGTTTCCAGAGGATTCTTGCGAAGGAACCAATGTGTAGGACGCACTTTGCTGGTTCCATTCCACCCACAGCTGTGTCATCTTCAGCAGGAGCGGATCTTGGTTTATTCTTTGGGCGTGAACACCAATTTTGGGAGATACTGCTTCTCCGGATCAAGTACATTCCTCCCTTTTGCTTTTGGTTCAGATCTGGTTCGATTATGGTTCAAGTAAGATCCTTGAATATTGAATTCTAAATTTAGGGAATATGATTCCCAGTTAGAAGAAGGTAGGAAAATTTTTAAAATTCGCCCACCCATTCCGCAACCTTCTTGGCGTCCATTAGATGGATCCTACCATTCTTTCAGAAGTGTGAAACATGTGAGGGAAGACTGGGTAGATCTGAGCCGAGAGAAGCAAGGGAGACACAAGAGGGGAGAAAGGTTGAGTGAGTAGAAAGAGAGGGAGGCACAATGGAGGGGAATAGTTGCATCAATTTATTTCTTTGAAGGCTACAAGAGGTAAGGTTCATACCTCATCTCCTTTGCAGTTTTTGTCTTTTATTTTTATTGCTTTTCTTGGGTTTTCTTGAAGATAAGAGTGTCTTCTTGCAATTGGAGGAAGCAATTCGAGGGTTCTCTCCCATTTCCAGCTGATCAACTAAATACGATTGTAGGGGTTCTAATAGAAATGGGGTGGGATGTTGTCTCACCCTTTGCTCAGGCCCCTTCTCCTAAAAGGGGATTAAATGGGAAGGAAGAGATGCTCGGTTACAGAAGTGCCCTTCCATTGTAGGTGGAAGACAAATTTCTTCTTTTACCACCTTCTTCTTGTGTGATTTCAGGGAATGGAAGTAGTACTTGTGCAAAGGAGTGCCTAACCCTTCCCCCCCCCTCTCTCTCTTTCTCTATGGTGACAAGGCCGAGAGTAATTTTTTTGTGGTTTATTTGCAATGATTTGGGAGACCCATCACTCCCTACTTTGTGATTTTGGTGGGTGGTGATTCTAAACATTTTTCCAGGAAGTGAATGACCGGTATTTTATCGACGTTCACAAGGGGTATATTGGGAAGCCCATGGTACGATACATATTGATACAGATCAATATGTGTCAAAATTTTGAACATTGACTTCTCCTTCTATCATTGAGGTTGGGTGTTCTACGTTTTCTACACCATAAGCCCTAGATTGGTTGTTTCCACAGATGACATCAGTTGTGTTTATTCAAATATGCAACAAAGGAAAATAATGGAAAATCTAGGCCCATGAGAACCTACAAATCCTGAAATTATCAGAGGCCCTAAGGCTATGTTTGGTTTGAAGGAAAAGGTAGGGAAAGAAGGGAAAGGTAGGAAAACCTATACATGATTTGTAAAACTTTCCTTACTTTTCCTTTCCTTTCCCTACTTTTTCCTTCAAACCAAACATAGCCTAAAGTTATTCCTTGGGAAAAATTCTCTAATGCTCAAGTCAGAAGAGGAGGAAGAGACAAGAGAGAGAGAGAAAGAGAGAGGCAGAACTATTTTTTGGTAAGCGAAACTTTAAATTAATAGAAAACCATCAAACATGTTCGAATTACACAACATAGATAAAGAAGATAAAAGCTCAGTAAGGCACTAGAATTGGCGCATAGACTAGAATGTATGCAATAACTACTTTCCAAAAAATGGGCCACTCGATTCCAGTTCCAGGGAATTTGAAACCATTGAATCCTCAAATCATTATAAAACTTTGCTTGAATGTCACAAACAAGAGTTGGAATGTCTGATGCAATGTTTTAATGACAAATCGCTATAAAACTTTGCTTGAATGTCAACAAAAACTGCTCCATAGTTGGACCTTTCATTGCGTTTAAAAACACCATCTACAAATATCTTGGCTAAAGGATCTTGGAGCACATGATCTCTGATTGGGACATATGTTGTCAATGGAGCCAGCCTACTGACTCTTTGGGGAGATGACACCAAGTTCTTCACTTCCTTCCTCTCCTAGCATAATCTGTGTGCATTCCAAGTTACAGATGAGGCATGAACAGTGTTAGCACCATGAACAGCATTGTTATAGTAGTAAGAAACAAATTCAAAATTTCCTTACGAATAGAAGAGTCCAAGTCCTGAGAGGAAACTATATCCAGAACCCAATCCTAGAACTTCTATGAGAGTAATTGTGAAGTTAGAATTCCCTAAGGTTGTGTTTGGTTTGCAGGAAAAGGTAGGGAAAGGAAGGGAAATTGTAAAGGTTTCCCTACCTTTTCTTTACTTTCCCTACTTTTTCCTTTAAACCAAACAACTCCCTATAAAACATGGGCATCTTTTAACACCACATCATGCATCGCACTTGTATCTTTTAATAGAAAACAAGATAAAAGAGAAAAAAACACTAAAATATAAAAAAGAGGGAAAAATCTATGATACCAGAAAGACATGGTACTAGGGGGGGCATTTTTTTTTTCTGGATTTGGAGAGGGGGGAAAATTGGTCAATGGGATTTTGATTCCCATTGATCAAGAATCACATGTTCTTTTTTCAGATTTATATGGGGAATAGGGAAAGTTTATTTTCCTGTTGGGGGAAAGTTACCGACACTTGAATGAGACAAAAATGCCCCTTCTAATAATGGATTTTTATGACTAAATAGTCTTTGCCTTATTTATATGGGAAATAAAAGAACATGGCTAAATGTACCTGGGTAAGTAACTTACCGAATAACGAACGACCTAGAAGTAAATTGACCAATCAAAGCACCCCTGGTAAATTGTGATAAATACTACCTCATTAATCACCTCTTTTATGATACTAGTTGATTGGTTATAAGTTTTTTCCGATATTATACTTTCTGACAAAAATGATAAAGAAGACACGCCTATTCTCTCACATGCAAATTCAAAATATATATAAAAAATCACAGAAAGAGCCACATAGTCGTCTCTCTTCCATCATAACCACATGAATTGCAAATTCATGAGTGACAAAGTCACCTGTGGTCCAACATAACCAAATGAATTCCTGCAAGATCAGGTCCCAAATATCCCTCCCTTCAATTTACAGGAGATACCCACCAGCTTGAGTGACAGGTCAACCTCACAGTAGGTCCAATTTCTCTATACAAAACCAGTTTTAAGGATGTGTTTGGTTTGAAGGAAAAAGTAGGGAAATATAATTTTTCACTTTCCCTTCCTTTTCCTACCTTTTCCTTCAAACCAAACGTAGCCTACTTTAATAGGAGTGATTTTAATTTGCCACGTGGTCACATACAGACAGCAAATGACTCACCCGCTGGTGAATCCATCGTTAGTCAAATTAAAGGTTCTTCTCACTTTCTTAGTCGGCCGGTCCTACCTTTCTATCACTCTCAATCATTGAAACAATATATCCGGCTATAGTAGTATCTATTAATATATTGCATGCATCAGGGACCGCACATCTATAATAGGCGGCCCCACACAGTATTCCTGATCATTGGCGCAGGATGCGTTCGTGAGAGTTACGTGGAAATAGGTTGGTCTCCTTGGCACTACCGAAGGCAGATATCAAATGCCACAAAGAGGAGATATCGTTGAGAAATTTCCTCCTCATTTCCGCCTTGTTCCTTCTCGGTGGCTTGCGATTTCACCCATCTCTACGATGCTTTACGCTTGACCATTCGATTGGTGGAAGAGGTGGGCCATGCGTATGGCATCGGGACCGGATGTACATCATGTTCCATGTAGTTTAAATATATGGGATACTTGTGGATTACGAGGGGAAAGGTCTGTTGTCGCTTTCCATGTAGGGTGGCAGTATCATAATTACAACAACAACCGTACAGAGAGAGAGAGAGAGAGAGGGGCGAGGAGAGAGAAAAACAACAACACATGGACCATATGCACTCAAAGTAGGCAATTCCAGTCATTCATTTCTCTGTTCAGTAGAAACAGAGTCATGCTTGTCCTTTGTAGTCTCAAGACTCAAGAGTAAATACTCCTGTCATCTTGATTCTTGACCGAACCCAACTCCTTAAGCCAACATAATTGATAATTACCAGCTCTGCTTCTTATCATCATTTCTTTTGTTTTGGGGGTACAATTGTCATCATTTCTGTAGAGCTTAAAGGATATCATCTTCTCTTTTTTTCTCACCATTTAATTCAGTTTTCTCGTACATAGATAGATTGTTTTTTTCTTGACTTGAAGCTTCTGTGCTCTTGGTTCTGTATTCTTTAATTGGTTTCTGCAAGAAAAGATAGTAACTTTCAAGGGGCTTTGTGAGATAAAAGCTTTCTGTGCTGGGATTTGGTTGGATTTGAGCTTTGTCGCCCGTTGAAGCTGATCTGCAAGGAATTATCTCCGGTTTGTTTCTTACTTTCCTCCTTTTCCGTCTGTTTTTAATTGGTTCTTTTTTATTTTAATTAGATAAAAATATCAGAATTTTTTGTATGGGTTTTATTGGAAGATCATCCTGTAGCTGGGTTTAGGCTGGTGATGAACTTATTTTTAGTTCTTTTGGGTCTTTTACGTTATCAAATTATAAGGCAAGGCACTGGAGATTTTTTTTGGTAGGCGTGAGGAACTGGAATTTAGTGAAGTTATGTTTTTTCTGTTGGGAGATTTTTAGTGGGGTTAGTGGCTTCCGAGTTGTTGTGTCTGATTTTGAAACCGGGATGTTGAACTTTACTGTGTTTACTCTTTTGTGATGGTTTGAATTATAAAATGTTGGTATCTTTTTATTTTCAATGTAAATTGATGATTTTTTTCGTGTAGGGGAGGGTACAGAGAGCTTGGTTCACATCTTCTGAATTTGTTTTTGAATTGTTGGTGTTGATTGGTTTGCTGTTGTATTCTAAATCTGGCATTCAAAGTAATTTGAATCTAATGCACGATGCTCGTGCTTACTCCTGAAAAAGTGAATGACTAATTGTTATTTTCAATGATTGAAGGCATTTTGGTTGTTGATCTTGACTCCTCTTTGATTTAATTTTTACTTTTTTTAAATTCTGGATCTATTTTTGTTTCTGAATGTAGTGCTTATTGTATTTTAGTTTTGAACAAAACTCTATTCATTGTTCATTGGGAAGAAGGCCAGTTATTCTCAGATGATCTTCACTCTTACTCTACAGAATGTGCTTTTAGGCTTTCTGTTTTAATATGTTGCCTCAGGTTCATTATCTGTTGTTTGTTGGAAATAGGGCCTGTAGCATGATTCAGCATGATTCTCCTGTTTCACCTTTGAACTATAGGATTTCCATGGTTTTGTTATAAGAAGAATTGTTAAAATTTTAAGGTAGAAAGAATTCTGAGATTGAACTGTCAGATTTTTTAGTTGCTGTCTCTGAGATTGGGTAGGAGGTGTAAAATTTAATGGTTGGAGTGGCTGTAATTGTAATACGTACAATTATAAATTAATCCCTTTAGTGTTGGAAACTTCTGAATGAGTTTGATGGTTTTATGCTAATCATACCTTTTCATGGCTTTTGCCACATGATTTCAGATAGTCATGTTGGTTTTCAGTTTTACAAGTTTGAAGCAAGGTCACAATTATAAATGCTTTAATACTGATGAATTTCACATTCTTAATTTCATTCTTAGGAGGCATTTGTTAAAAGGTGTCATTTGCATTTCAAGGGAGATTTTGTCAGTGCACAATCAATTGCCAATTAATTCCAAGAATCTTGTGCAATTTGTTTTTAAAGGGAAGATGAGTCAACCTAAAGTAAAGCGTCGAGTTGGTAAATATGAGGTGGGAAGGACCATTGGTGAGGGAACATTTGCAAAGGTGAAGTTTGCAAGAAATTCTGAGACTGGGGAGCCCGTGGCTATCAAGATCCTTGACAAGGAGAAGGTTCTTAAACACAAGATGGCGGAACAGGTCCGTCTTGGATCACTATATAATTATTGAATTATTCTTTTCTCTCTATTTAATTTCAACTTCTGTATATTGAATTATTATTATTATTATTATTATTCAGTTTTTAATGTAGTTCATTTTGTTTTGAACATAAAGAAGCTCATTCATTAGTTTTTTCCACTTATTTTCTTCGATAAATATATTTATGGTGTTATATTATGTGCCTGTGATGGTACTTCTTACTGATTGGCTCGGTTTGAGTGGTTGAAATTTCTAAGGGTATACAATCTCCTTACGGACCCCCAAAATGATTTGTGGAAACCACTTATTTAAAGCTGCCTTTATCCAAAACTATTTTCTATTTTTTTAGTAAGGTATGGCATGCCATTGATACATACAGGGCAAACCAGATTAAAAGGAATAACTGTACATGAAAATTTCAACTTATACTATCTTATCTAGTAACTTATCAAAACCATTAGAATTGGATTCCACAAACTGTTGCCTTTGGTTCCAGAGGCCTATGACTATGACTACCAATCTGTTATGAACTGTTTTGTACTTTTAGGAAGAGACAAACTCCTGCTGAAAAATCTTATGAAAAGCCCATGCTTTGTTGTGCCACCAATTGACTAAAAAAAAATTGACCTCTCTCACCAGCAGGAAACAAATATTAGCGATGTTTATTTTCAAGAAATCAGATGATCCATGCCTCGTTATTATGTCATTGTAGACCCTCCACGTGAAAGATTCTGCTTTTGTTGGCATTGGTGATTCCATTAGAGGTTGAAAGGAACATGGCTCTATTCCCTGAAAAAGGACAATACAGAAAGTTCATGGGTCATCCCTATCCATACTTGAGAATCCTCAACTGATAAATGGAGAACTATTTTCTAGTTTGCTAAAGAGGTTGAGAGCCACTTCCTTACAATTGTTTGGACTATGTATGAAGTGACAATTCCAAACAATTTAATTGGTAGCTTTATTGTTGAAGAGATGTATCTTTGATGGATGATATCCTATATCATTATGGTCATAATCATCTAACCCTTTTCCCAACTATATGGGTTTGAGTGCATGACTCCTATTCTGTTATTTCATTCTGTTCAGTGTCATATTGATTGTTAATGATGGGCCCTTAAATCATTTCTAACTATTTCAACCCAAGTCCTTTTTGGTTTTGCTCTAGCTCTTCTAGCTCTTCAATTTGTAACAGATCACTTCTTACTGGTGTTGTAGATGGTCTTTGCGAGTGGGCAAACTATCTTAGTCTACTTTCTTCATTTTATCACATATTGGAGCTATTCTTAGGTTCCTTCAAATAAGTTCAATTATGATCCTATCATTTATAGTTTTCATATTCATCCATCTTAATTCATATTTCTGCCATATTCATTTTTTTGACACGCTTCTGGACTGTTCAACACCTTTCCCCTACATCATATCTATATAATGCTAGAAAAACAATGCAAAAGATGATATGACCTCCATTCATTCTTTCAAAATCTTCTTAAAATGCATGTGCAAATTTGCGTGTGTACTTTCAAACTCCGATCTAGCTACCTGATGCCATCTAACAATCTCTCCCTTAAGTTATTTACATTTATCTACAGCGAATTACAGGTGGTTCATTTCTATCTTTCTTCCTTTCTTTCTGGATACTATTTTTCATCGACATTTCACATTTATTAGCTTTATAGGAAGTAGGGATTGAACCCTGAACCTTAAGCCAGTATATCTGTTTACTTCACATCCATCTGGTGAATGGTTTTTTTTTTTTGATCAGCAATAAACAGAGAAAAATTTTATTAATGGGAAACAGAGGTGTACATCAAGTTCAAATTGTGGATAGCCTCAGCTAGCCACAATAGGTACAGAAATTACATAACCAAAAAGCCGCCTTTAAATAACGAGTCCCCAAAACAAATTGTCCCTAGTTGTCCTGGACCTCCTGGTGAATGATTGTTGTTGGACATTTGAGTTAGTTGCAAAGATATTGCAACTCCTAGGCCAAATCACCTAGGGACCATTTCTTGGTGCAGTAGTAAAATCTTATGCTGACAAGTTGAGAATGCCAGTTCAAGTTTGAGAGAGGTCACTTCATGCAGGAAAATGCTGAAGGCTAGGTCTGATCCAGTTAGCCCCATCTGAGACCCCAGATGGTGAGGACGAACATTGGGTAATGAACCTTAGGTTTAATGGTTTACTTGCATTATGTTCCGATACCTCTTTATTGACTTGCCTTAATGGTTTCACTGAATCTTGGAGGATTAATATCTTATGCTAGCTTCAAAGGAAATTGTTTCATGATAATATTACATTTCTGATATGATTTGTTTATATACATACAGATAAAGCGTGAAATAGCGACAATGAAGTTAATAAAACATCCAAATGTTGTGCGCTTGTATGAGGTACTTCTACTTTGACCTTTCACTTTTAAAACAAAATCCAAAATGTTTTCCTTCATGTTAAGGGATTATATTGATGTGGATAAAATCAAGAAACATAATTATCTCCTTCACATACACAATATAGTATCCTTTTTGGTTGATGATTATGGCAGGATGTTATTCCACTGTTTGCAGATAAAAGAAGTCAGAAAATGGTGGATTTTAATGGTCTTTTTGTGAACCATTTTCTCAGAATAAAATTTATTTTTCTATAAGTGAAAATTCTAGATGAAGAAATTATTAGATTCTAACTGAAGTTCTCAAATATTGAAATGAGAGGAAAAATAAGCTTTATGTTAGGCCTGAAGAACTAAAATCGTTTTATTTTTAAGCTTAATGATGTTATGGGTTGATCTTAAGCTCAAATATTTCTAATGTTAGTCTCATGCTCCACTTTGTAGCCAAAGGTGTGGACAAGACTTAGTTGACTCATGGATTGGCAGTGGCATGTATAGTTCATGCTTTTCTGAGAACCAGCTGGGCTTGAAAACCATTGAGCTAACCTAGCATCTATGCAGCTGTAGATTTATGTAAGCTCTATTAGCATGACAGTCTAATAACAGTTTAAGCGGTTCAGGCAACATGCCTGCAATTATTTTGTAGTGAATAGGGTGGAAGCAGTGGCAAGTTGCACAGAATCTCGAAGGTTTTGAAATATGGTATGCACTCAAAAAAAAAAAAAAAAAACAAAAAACCATAATCAGGAGTGTCAAGTGTGCCTGCTATTGTATAAAAAATTAGATATTACTTTCAAAATGTTTCTGTTTTTAGAAGATAGGTGATAGAATAGTAGATCTGGTTACTTAGGGCCAATAAATGATGGAGTCTGATATAATACAGGTAGTCCTACTCCTATGGGAGCTAAGTTGGATGAACTGATGCAAGTTGACCTAAAAAAGTTTCTGGGTCAGATTCAATAATTCATTGATCTTTCCCTGGGATGATGAAATTTGTAAGAACCAATAAAATAGGTCTAGGAATACAGTTTTTCTATGAAAATTTTGTATGCAGACTTGGAACATTGAGATGTATGGGGTGACTTAATATGAAGAGGTTCTAAGTAGTTTGGGAACAAAGGGTTGAAAATCCTACTTTGCAAGAAAAAAATCTAAAACTTCTGAAACTTAGGGTTTTAGTTGAAACTTTGTATTGAAGCTTGGTAGGGTGAATAGCCATGGAGAATAATGAAGAATGACTAAATTTGAGAGGGATTTGAACTGATCTTAACCGAGGGGCAACAATTTCCAAGGATAAAAGGATCTACAAAAGTTAAGAGTAAGGAAATTGAAAAAGTGAAGGCAGAGGCTTAGGTTGTGTGGAGGGTCCCAAGGAGTGATTTGAAGCCTTATTGATATCTGAAAGAAATGCTAAACAGAAAATCTTAATTAAGCTAGCAATAGAAAGAATTAGAATTCAAGAGAGAACATAGAAGGGAAGAAAGAGACAAAAGTGAGAATAATGGTACATGTTGAGAATAAAAGGATAAGGAAAACTTGCACCACTTCAGAAAACTATTTTCAATTCATTCTCTCCTTAAAACATGTTTTTTTTACCCCAAAGTTACTCCATGTGGAGGGGTGGTTACTGCTGGATTGTATTAATGAATTCTCAAAAATGAAACCTAAGAGGGNGGCTACATAAATAACTTACCCCTCGAGAGAAGCTATAGAAGAGGCCACTCATCTCAGAATAACAATGGAAGTCTGATTGGACCTAAAAGAGAAGAGAAAAGATACCCTATTGTTAAGTATGGTAAACCTAAGTTATCTCCCTTGAATTTTCTGAATGGTCACTCGCAGGTCCTCCGTATGATTAATGATTCGATCAAGCTTGTCTAGAACAGAAAGTTACTCAAAGAAATCCAAAATACTCCTAAGATTGATTCTAGTACCATCTTGTCGTCCACCTCAAAGACTATTAGGGCAGAGATGATGCATATTACAGGGGCTAAAACTGATGCATCCTTTGGGGATTGGGACTGCTAGGTGGCCGGCAACTCTCAGGTTATGGTTAGTTTGATCATACCTTTTAGTTGGGCCTTCCAGATTGATCATCGCATCCAGATGAATACCTAGATCAGCCAACTCCTTGGTGGATAGTCTAGTTGGACTGGGGTTTGGAATTGGGATTTTGAATTGTAGTGTGTCACCTATGAATAATATATATATATATATATATATATATATATATATATTACTTATAAAAGTGTGAATGCCCCTTTTTTCTGGAATTTTCATTGGACATTTTCTACCCCTTATCTAAGCAGCATACAACGGGCATAAAGAGGATAAGGAGGGTGTATATGTCCTTTACTCTCACTCCAAAAACTGCCCACTTATAATAGTTAAGAAACTGTCCACTTATAACTGTTCAAAAACTGCCCATGAATTGTAAATAGTTTTGTCTTGGAGATACTGTCATGTGCAAATGCACGTACATGTTTACTAGTATATATATATATATTGCCTTATTGTATTTTACAGTTTTCTTCTTTGAGGCATAGATTCAGGGCTCCCTTTTATTATTGGATGTTAGGTGTTTTTATATTCCCTTTTCCTCTTATGCTTAATAATGTCTTTTTAATGATAAAAGAAGGGAAAAAGTTTCTTGGATTAGCCTATGTAGAGACCTGGTTGAGCAAAGTCAGTTCGGATTTGTTTGAGATGAAACTAACAGCTTGTATACATGTCTATGTTTGAAGTAATCCTATTGATACTAGATGCATTCTATGTTCTTTCATAGTTGCAATGGCATTTTAATGAATGATTAAAGTTAAGTTAGATTTGAGGATACTTGTAAAAATAAGCATGATTTCTTTTATCATCATGGGTCACAAATAAGGCTTAGTTTGGAAGGAGTACAAATGCAAATATGTAGAGTGTGTTGACAGTTGTGTATGTATTCAGGTTTAGTACCATAAGGGTATTGTTGTAATTTCTCCTCTGTTTATATTGTTCGACTGTACTAGTATAAATAATAAAATCATTCTTTCGCCCCCTAAGTTCTGGAGGGCTTTCARTHACTYGACTCAYCTCTYYTCTCTCTTCTCCTCTCCTCTCTTCACTTGCTCTTGCTCAACATGGTATCAGAGCAAGTCGTCCAAGCCTGAAGGGTGGTGTCAAGCTAACTACTGTTGCATCCAGTGCTGTCTCCAATAGAACTCCTAATCTGGTGAAATCAGTTTGACCCAGAAGTTACAAAGTCTTTTCGTATTCCAGCCCAGAAACTACTGTTGCATTAGAGTTTTTTGTCTCCAATCGAACTACTGTTGCATCCATCTGCTCGACTGTAGAGAGACTATTGCTTGCAGTTCGTAGAGGGTGTTCCGTCTTCAGAAAGGCTATCATCTGAAACTAAAAGAAGTATTGTTCATCTTTTGTTCGACTGCCTATTGTTTGAGGATTCGTAGAAGGAGCTCTGGTTTACAGTCAAGGAGTTCTGGTTTACCATAAGGGAGACTATCATCTGAAACTAAA